CCAGCCCCTTGCAGCCAGGGCTGTCCTTCCCAGCACCACGTGCTCTGGGGAGCAGGCAGCCGTGGTCAGCTGGGTCCTCCTCGCAGGAAGACTTTGCCTGTGAACTGCTCCAGCCAGTGCCGTCCAGCATGGCCCTTCCCTCCTGGGGCTGGCCTTTCTTTTGGGTTTTATGTGTGCTTTTTCTGGTTGCTGAATAACGAGTTTTCCATCCTACACCATGGCCCCCATTGGTCTCTTCATAGGTCCGTGGAACCAAGCAGCCTTTTATGCGCGTGTACCAGTAAGGAGCAGAATGGAGGTGGGGCAGACCGGACAGGTCCTGCTTCTTGCTGCAGCCTGCACACGGTTGCTTTCTCCGTTACCACTTTTGTTTCTCCATGGCTCTTGTGGTGCAATCCCAACCTCAGCCATAGCCAGGGTCTGTAATTATAAGGCACATCTCAAGAGTTGAGGATTTTCCTAACAGCAACAGATATGCAGAACTAGCTGGGATTGATGGGGCGGGCGAGCAGCTGGATGGGTTGTGGGCAGCAGGTGTCTGTGTGTCTTCAGGGACTCTCCTTCCCACCCTGCTGGGTAGAGCAGGTGTCCTGAGGGCGTATCAGGTGTCCTGAGGACGCATTAACAAGTGTGGGAGCAGCTCTGGCAGCCAGGGAGGACTCAGGGATGGATTTGTGAGCAAAGTGACGTTCCTTTCCAGGCTGAAGCTGAATGAAAAGGTGTCGCTGGAGAAAATTAAATTTCACTGCATGGATCATGATGGCGGGTCCATTTTTGTGTCACCTGTGGACAAGGAGATCTTGCAGGCCCAAAAGAAGGTAGGAAGGAACAGAGGTTGGCTCTCACTGGATGTTAGCTCTCACTGGGGTGAGCCTGGAGATAAAACCCAGGGAGACCAGGCCGAGGAGTCCCTCGGAGGCAAGGTGAGCTGCTCTGTGCCTGGCTCCTGGAGGGCTGCAGGCTGCAGTGCCATGGAGGCAGCCTCGAGTCCCGGTCCTGTGCTTCCAGTGGAAAAAAGGTGGAAAGATCTTTTTCTTCTTCTGTGTTAAAGAAGAAACAAGGCGAAAATCTTGCAAGTGGCTGCAGATGCCCTTGCCAGCACCACCCATGTGTTGGAGTACACCGGGGTGTCCAAAGTTTTTGGCCCAATTTCCATTGCAATAGCTGTATTTTGCTTTCTTACCATCTCTTGTCCATGTTATGGAGACCTCCTGGGGGCACATCACATGGCGAAGGGGTGGCTGTGTGTTTGCAGTCTTCCCAGGGTTGCTGCCTGGCATTTAGTCATGCAAAGGAACTCTTGTTTTTCAATGAAATCTTCTATGCTGCTCTTGGTGCTCTTCTGGAGCATCGCTGGGGGTGGTGCGGAGGGCTGTTTGGGGAGCTCCAAGGTTGTTACTGGATGGAGGAGATCCTGCTGCTCAGGGCAGAGGGGAGTGGGCAGGAGCTGTAGGATCCCCTGCGTGGCAGCAAAGAGAAGATGCTCCTGGGCTCTCTCCTGTCCCTAGTTTCCGTGGACTGACCGCAGTGTATCACATCCTTGCAGAAACAAACCCTTCCTGCTCTTCCCCTTAGGTGGTGGAGCACCTCGAAAGTGAGCTGGGTGTCCAAGTTCGGCGTGTGGCAATCCACAAGATGAAGTATTCTTTCCAGATCTGGTCAGCCATGATGTCGTCCAAGGACAGCGATGGGCAGGTGTGTCAGACCGAGCTGGCAAAGGCACAGATTCGCGGCAGCAGGGAAGAATCGGCTGCTTGGGGCCAGCCACAGAGAGCTGTAGGCTTCCCAGACCTGCCAGGGGGCTTTCTCTGCTCCGTTTCTTCCCCCAAATCCTGCTTTCATCTCTTTCCAAAGCTATGCAGCCCCTTCTCCCTCGCTTTCCCATGAGATGGCGATGTGGCTCCCAGCAGAGGAGCAACGTGGCTTAGGGAGGGAGAGGCCATTTCAGCATGTTGACCTTTTCTGTGCAAGGTGGTAAGTCAGCCAAGCAGGTAGCATCCTGCCTTGCTCTTGCCTCCCTACTGTGTCTCCTGGCATTGTAGGTTGGGATTAATGGCTGTTAGGATGCCAGGACTGAGGCGGTGGATTAGCAGCTTTGCAGCAGCAGGCCTGCATGTGTTTTTTTTTTTCCTGGAGTTGTAGCCCCTGCGCCATGCTCTGTGCATGCATGGAAGTATTTTGTAGCAAAAATAAACTCTTGGGAATATTATACCTTGTGCATTCTGCCACACAGGCAGCGGTGAAAAATAAGCCAACCCCACCTTGCTAAGGTGGGCATGCCTGGCTCCCTCTACCTCCTTTTTCCTGATCCCACAGCCATATAACAGCAGTAAGTGCCTCCAGGAGACGTTATCCGGAGCGTCATCCCGTGCCTCACATCAGAGGAGGGGTACTGAAAGGTGCTGCTTTGGGGGGTTCTCCCTCCGCAGAGCGAGGTCCCCTTCTTGCTGTCGCTGGCAGGGAGAGATGCTCCCGCTGCCGCTCTGGATTAGTGCTGGAGCTGTGTAACGCTCCTGACGGGCATCTCTTGTCTGAAAATGGGAACAGCTTGGGTCAGGATAATTGGACAGCTGGAGATTTCGCTGCCGTTTGTCAGCCTGTCCTTCCCCGTCGCACGCTAGCTGACGGTGCTGATGGAGGGAGCGTGTGTCTGTGTTACAGGAGGCACAGCTATTCACAGACCTGCTGGGGGATCACGGGAAGCCGGTGTGGCCGCTGTGGGAGCTGGTGAAGTGGCTCATGGGGATGTCTTCCCACACTCTCCCAGCTATTGGTAAGGTTGGGAGGAGCCCCGGGGTGTGCAGAGGCGGTGGTAGGGCGGGCGAGTTGTTAAATGAAAATAGTGCCCTTGCAGTGCCCCTCGAAGGGACTCTGGAGTTTGCACTGAGCAGCTTCAGACTGGTCTTTTATAATGACACTCAGTGTCTTCAAGTCGAACACATGTTTGAGGGGGAGTTGGCTGGATCTTTGATAACTGGGATTGGATATCCTGGGAGAAGTGAGGACAACAGAGCTGCAGGCAGGGTTTGCTCCTGCTGTGAGCCCTGCCAGAACTGCTGGGGCTTGGAGGGAGCCAGTCAGGGGTCTGCACCGATCTTTTTTCTTAGCAGCAGATACCAGAGAACCCTAATTAGTGCTGTTGTGCTGCTGTCTAATGAGTGCTGAGGTCACTGCCAGCTCTGCTCGATCCCAGTGACTGGAAAAACTCCTTGAAGTGATGGGCAGGCTGAAAGCCTTTCCCTTGGCAAAGCTGGGGAGACGCTGCCTGCAGAGCCATGCAGCGGGCAATCCGCCCTGGGAGCCGGCATGCCAGCAGGGAGGGGGACTTGGGGGGGCCCACTAGGAGCTGGGGGATGCTGCGTGTGGCCGGGCAATGCGCTTTCTAGCCTGCTTAACCCACGGTCCTCTCGCTCACTCTCTGTTCCTGTTTGTGCCCTTGCCCTGCAGCCCTGGGCCTGACGGAGAAGCTGATGAAACTCAACCCTGGTGGGAATGCCAAGCTGGTGAGCATGGGGAAGAGCCTGCAGGAGGAGATGGAGGCCCTGCTGGGGCCTGACGGCGTGCTCCTCTACCCCTCGCACCCCACCGTCGCTCCCAGGCACCACTCCCCCATCTGCATGCCCTTCAACTTCGCCTACACAGGTGAGGAGCTCTGACTCCTCTGCTGGGGTGGAGGCAGGGGTCGCAAGCATGCCCTTGCCCACTGCAGCAGTGCAGGCTGGAAGCCAGGGTATTTTACCCAGAGTGTTTCCATCAGTGACAGCGGGCTTTGCAGCGCAGAGGGGTGTCTCGCTGCTCCAGAACATGGGGCAAGGATTATGGTCATGCTTTAAAACTGTGGCATTTGTACCTGCTGTCCACAGCAGAGCAGGTTTCATCTCTGGGCGGGGGCCACCCTGCCCCAGAGGGATGCGCTCATGCTGTTACAGCTGGTGCTGTTGTTTGGTAGCCCCCAAGAGTTGCTGTGTCTCTTGGGGTACAGTTTGGGTCTCTCTGTGGCTTTCCCATGGCTTGAGCTCCTTGATGCCAGCGCCACGTTGCAATGCTGTCTGGCTTTGGAGTAATGGAGGGATGGTGCCTGGGACAGGAATGTCCCAAAGCAGACCTTGGCATGCCGCAGCAAGTGCCACATAAGTGATGTGGGCGCTGGGAACCTCTGCCCAGCGATGTCCCCTTGTCATCCTGCTTCTGCACCGCTCCAGCAAGGACCAGCTCCCAGGAGCCCAGCGCCGTGTGTGGCAGCAGCTACCTGCCTGGGGTGGGAGAGCCGGGCAGTGATTTATCCCGGTTGCTGTGCTTGCTCTGATGCAGCCTTCTCTCTTCCAGCTATCTTCAACGTCCTGGGCTTGCCGGTGACGCAGTGCCCGCTGGGCCTGAGCAGCGAGGGCCTGCCGCTGGGCATCCAGCTGGTGGCAGCCTCCTACAATGACCACCTGACGCTGGCGGTAGCCCGATACCTGGAGAAGGCCTTCGGAGGATGGGTTTTACCTGGGAAAGTTTAGCCTGGGCTCCTGGTGCTGCAGGGAGGCAGGGATGGAGATGGTGGTGCCCAGCGAGGCAGCAACGGGTGCTGATGCCCAGTCCCATCATGTCACTACCTGCTCCCTCTGCACCCCACCTTGCACCCTCCTGGGAGCGGCCTGCGGTGCCTCCAGCCCCTGAGGAAGCCAGGCTGTTGCCGCTGGAGTCGTCTCCTCCCTGCAGCACCCTCTGCCAGGGCAGAGGCCTCCCCGCCCTGTGCCCCCTCGGGAGCCCCGGTGCCGTGGGCTGGCAGCAGGCTGCCCGCATCCTGCCTGCGGCGGGCACCTGTCTCCTCCTAGGTGTGGAGATAGCCGTCTCTCTGTAATGCTTGCTGCTCTGAAGACGCTCAGTGAAGGCTGGGGAGAGGAGGTGCTGCCAGGCTGCTCGGGGACGACCACCCAGCGCCACCCTTGGGGGCCCCCCGGGTGCATCCATCCTCCTTGGTCCTACCCTGTCTGCGGGGCTGGGACTGCACCTGGTGCACTGCAGGCTTGCTGGCCCCTGCAGCCTCCCTGAGCTGCTGCAGGGTTTTCCCCACCCTCTAACCGAAAAGGAAGCGGGGCTGAGGGTGCTGCAGGCAGCCGTACACTCGTCTCGCCAGCGGTGCTTTGTGGGGTGGATGGTGCTGGGCTCTGCCCAGTGCGGAGCTGGTGGGCAAGGGAGAAGGAGCTTTTGACAGCACTGGAAGAGCTCTTTAAATGCTCCTCTCCATGTGCTGAGGTGGCTAAAGCATCTCCTGCTTCTGTCTTCTGCCCTGGGGGGCTCACCCAGCGTGATTGGTGTCCCCTGCCCACCACCCTCCCAAGCTGCCCAGCCTCTGCCCCCACGAGCGGACACAGGCAGAAACGTGGGCAGCTGGCTGTTCCTGGGGCAGGCAGCAAGCGTAAGATGTTCTCAGCGAGGGTGGTATTAAAACAATCTGTCCAGTTTGCCGCTGGCTGTGTGTCCTTGTTCCTGACAGCTGTTGCCCTGCCGGCTGCGGGGCTGCTGTCCCCCCGGGCACCGGCCCTGTCTCCACTCGCGCCGTGGGATGCGCCGGGGGTGCCGAATGCTGCTGGCTGTGGGCGCAGTGCGGGGACAGCAGTGGAGGTGCTAGCATCTGCCCCAACGGTGGCACTTGGCCACTGCTGGGCTCTTGTTTTAAAATGCCTGGACTCACGGTGTCTGCTCAGCTCCTGGCAGAGCTGAAGGGTGCCGGGAGCTCCGGCGGTGTCGCAGTCGATGGCTCTGTTAGTCTTGTAGTGGTTGGACAATGTTATGCTCTCAGAAAGTGTAAGCCCCGCTGCTTTCTCTCCCCGATGGGCTGCCAAAGGCTTGGGGCTCGCAGGGCGATGCTGAGCCAGACGCCAGTTCCTTGGGGTCTCTAGGGCAGAGCAGGGCGCGGGGTCCCAGGCCTGCACGCCCAGCCTGCAGTGCTGATGTTGGCAAGGATGAAACCTCCCCGCAGCGCTGGCTTTACGGGGGTGTCCTGGCTTGTGTCTGTCCTGCCACGTGTCACCCTTGGTCCTGGCCTGATCCCTGTGCTGCTGTCTTCTGTCCCCAGGCCACTAATGGTCCCTGCAAGGGGGGACCTGGGCACGGTGCAGCCAGGGTGCTGGGGGCAGGCTGCGTCTCGCCACCCGCTCGCAGAGGGCACTGCTGAGCCGGCCGAGGGCTGCCAGCCCGGGGAGCTTGCAGCCAGATGAGACACCGTCAACAAGGAAGGAAGAAAGAAAAAAAAGCCCTGACCCAGGAAAAAGGGCACGAACCACCAAAGCCAAATCACGTGCCGTGCCGTGGGACGTCTCCTGCAGCCTCCCAGCGCAGTGGCACAGAGGACACAGGCCCCTGGCTGGAGGGAGCCTGGGAGCTGGGTGGACCCTGATGACGCTTCCAGCGAACACCCTCGGAGCCTAATGGGGGTTGCTGAGCTGAAGTCAGTTGTGTTTAACAGAGCGTGGTGGGCACGCACGGCACCACTGTGTTTGCTCCAGCGGGTTCCTGTTACGGCGATGGCCAGATGAGCAACTGCGTAGCCCAAGGTAGGGGAGGCCGCTGATGCTTCAGGGTGGCGTGGCAATGGGGGATGCGGGCAGAGGAGGAGATGCGTGGAGGAGAGGGGGTTTAATCTCTGTGGGCCCAGCTGATGGGGTAGCTTCTAAATCATATTTTTACAGAAACCGCAACATGGGGAGGGTGCTGGGTTTTTCCCTCTGGGCAAGGCAGACCAGGACCGGGTGTGCTGGGGTCAGCAGGGCCTGGCAGGGACCATCCTGCAGCCGCCCTCGCTGCTGCAAAAGTGCTGACGCCCAGCGTGCTGCCTCCTCCTGTGGCAGGAGCAGCCCTGTCCCTGCCTGCAGAGGCAGCCGGGTCCTGGGGTCTCCCCAGGGAGCTGACTTGCCGCTCTGCACCTCTGCGAGTCCCGGGAGCAGTCCTGGGGGCCCCTTCTCCCTCTGGGGAGAAACAGTGCCGTCGCTGGGGGCCGGCTGCGAAGCCAGGACGGCACATGCTAATGTCAGGGCAGGGGGAAACCATAAACCCACCGCCTGCGCTTCAGCTCTGGCATTTTAGAGGTCTCGCCTTGGGGCTAGGAGCCCTTGCCCACAGTTTGCAGCTGCCCATCCCCGCTTGTTGGCTGCTCCGCCTTGTTTCCAACTCTGAATGCTTGCAAGGGACGGAAAACATGGCGAAAGCATTGTGTACACACCTGCCAAGACAATCACGCTCATAACACTAATGCAGAGTCGGTATAAAACGGGAGGAGCAAGAGGCAACGGGTGGGAGTAAGCCAGCTCTACGGATGTCCAGTCCAGCCAAGGGGATGCTCCCCCCCATCTGCCTCTGGAGGTGGCCCCTGGCTCCCCACCTTCGCTGGGGGACATGTCCCCATGACGAGGAGGTCGGCACTGGTGGACTCAAAGCCCTTGCACATCTCTCCCCGGAGAGCGAGGTTACCTTCATAGTTGGCAAGAGCAGGGAAAAAAATTCCCCCGGGAGCTGAGTGCTGGGGCAGGGCCAAGGTAAGGAGCTACCGGCCGCGTTTCAGAGGGAGGGAGGAGGAAGCGGGGCAGTAACATGCCGCAGCGCTGCCCCAGCGTCCCCCCGGGGCTGTGCAGGGCTGCGACACAGGTGCCCGGTGGGACCGGCCTCTGCTGTGGCTCACACGGACCGAGGTCTCTACTCAGGACCCGGCAACCCAAGGGGGTGCCTTATGGTGCCCGGTTTCACCTGGCCCTGTGCTAGCGCGCATGGCACCCTCCCCATCCCACGGAGGCTGCGGGAGGGCTGGGAGTGTTGCGGCAGCTGTATCACCGGTTGTGCCGGTGTGAGTCACACCCGGAGCAAGGCTGAGTCACTGCCAGAGCGGTGTGAGCATCGGGCCGGGAGCTTTCTCAGACGCACATCTCGGTGACACCGGCGGCGTGACTTCTTGCTGCCTTTAGGGAGGGACCAAACGCCAGGGGAACCAGTGAGAGGTGGGTGCAGCAGAAGGTCCCTGCAGCACATGCACGGTGCCAAGGCAGAGCGTGGCAGCTGCCCGCTGTCCCCACGGGCCTGGTTGCCACCGCAGCCCTGAGGGCACCTGCCCTGGTGCTGCTTCACACCACCCTGGGGGGCGGCAGGGGGTTCCCCGCCACTCTGCATCAGGCACCTCCGTGCCACAGTTGGGTACGCAACCTCTGTGTGCAAGGCGTGCCTGCAGTGGGTGTTGCTGGCCACGGCTTCACGAAAAAATATTTTTTCGAATGCCAGGTTCCGGCTGCCTGTCGTGCTTGCGGGTGGCAGAACAGCACGCCCGTCCTCTCACCATGGCACCCAACGCGGCAGCGTAGAGCTGGGGGCAGATGGACGGGGCGCCGCAGGATGAGCCCTGCCCTGAGCCTACTTCTGTCCCTGGCCAGCTGCACCCTGCTCCGGGGTAAGTCCAGCTCCGGAGCTGCCGCGGTGGGCTGGGAGGTGGCCCTGGCTGCAGTGGGCGGGGGAGAAGCACGGGGACAACTCTCAGACCTACAGGAGGTACCTGCAGGGAGGAGGGGACTGAGTGGTCTTCAAGACGTGATGGGAAAGAAAATCCCAGGGTCACCAGCGACCACGTCAGGGTGTCGGTGCATTTCGCGAGACCGCAGATAGGATGCTCCAGGATGTGCAAGAGATCCATGGGATGCAGATGCTGAGCACCGCATGGGCAGCCAGCGCTTGCCTGAGCCTTGCAGAGCGTCGGTGTTTGCCTGTGCGGGACTGAAGCTGGGGGTTGTAGGGTGGGGGGAGGCCCCACGATGCCTGTGCAAAGCGGGGAGACCCATGCAGCATGACCAAGCGGTGAGCCGCCAAGGAGCCGCAGAGCAGAGCGATGCTGCCTGACACCCCTCTGCTTCCCCCCCTCCCCAGGCACGCTGTTGCCTCCACGGGACGTGAGGCTGGAGGCACAAAATTTCCACGTCCACCTGCGGTGGGAACCAGACCCTGGCTCGCCCAGCAGTGCCACATACGAGGTGGAGTGGAGGAATCGGTAGGTGGGGTGGCGAGGAGGAGGAGGTGGCTCGTCCCCCTGCCCGCTGGCAGAGGGCTGTCGGGGACCCCCAGTAGCCAGAGGATTATTATCTGGCAGTAAATATCACAGAATAACAGAATAGCAGAGCTGAAGGGGAACTCTGGAGACCAGCTCGTCCAACCCCAGCTCAGGCAGGGTCAGCTCAGGACTGTGTCCTGTTGGGTTTTGACCACCTTCAAGGACGGAGCCTCCACGACCTGCCTGGGCAACCTGTTCCCTTTCCTCGTCACCCTCCCTTTAAAAAAATAAATAGGGGTTGCGTTTGGGTTTTGTTTTTTTTTTTCCCCTTATGCTGAAACTTAATTTCCTGTATTTCAACCTGTGCCTGCTGCCTCTTGTCCTTTCTCCATCTTCTTTACTCCATCATGTTGATAAGACCCCCACGCTAAGCCACCTTCTTTTGAGGCCAAGCAGTCCCCACTCGCTCAGCCTCCCTCATACCACAGATGC